GGTGCCGATGCAAATTTTTCGAGTCTCGAGTGCGACTTCTCCGACTTGTAGCACTTTGGATCCTTCCCCGCAGCGCGCGCTGGTGGCGTGCTCGCGTCAAACCATCCACCGTGGCCGAGTGTTACCGCTGACATTCCACAGGGAGTCTGGCACAGTGCAACTCACAAATGTTCGCGTTGAGCCTCAGCGTCGCCATACTCTGAAGATGGAAATTCCAAAAATCAGTCGGCACACCTTGGGGCTGAATTCTGCTTCGGTTTCCCCATGAGCCGGATCTTTCTGGAGTCTGGCGAGCAGGGATTTTTTCCGATGGTCTCGAACGAGGGTGCTCCACACATTCCAACGGTTTCTTGGCAATGCTATTTATGTGGTCGACTGTCCCATATTCGCTGAAGTTGTCCAACGTGATTTTACTGGTGGGTGCGATGCCCGCGATGCTGTTTTCAGCGTTGGTGGTCTAGGTACATGTTGCGCCAACTCAGGGTCTGGTAGATGATCGTCATGAACCGTCTGGTCATGTCCCAGTCGTCCTCCAGTCCTGGCTTGACAAAGCGTCCTGCGTAAGCTATTTGAGTGGGTTGTTCAGCACAGCGACGTCCAGGACGTGACTGAAACCGCTCGGGGGGCCGGGATTTCGGACGATCTTCGGAGGTGGGCTTTCGGAATCAAAAGTGCATGTGCGCTGTCGAAAACCGTCTTCTGAACCGCATGTTTCTGTATGGCCCCGCGGCCGACCGCCAGAAGGTGGCGACATGCTTGATGTTCATGGGAGGCGCCCATCAGCGCAATCTGTCACCCTTGCGCAGGTGCCTTCACTCGTTGCCGTTGCAGAATCAATATTTCGATGTCTGAGGCATGTGATTCTCTGACTTCGTTGGGTTTCACCCGTGCCTCCAGGGTTCGTGCAACTACATTCTTTACGCTGAGATCGGCGTTTTTTTTTCGTTCTCTTTTTTTTTTGGTGGCGAAAATCCGGATGCCTCCCGCGCGGGCCCCTCCCCTGCACGCCTTCGCGATCTTCTTAGGCTCTGGCCCCCCAGAAGGCGCCGGCTCACCTTCGCTCGTGTTCCTGACCCAAACGGATTCCGCCTGATTCTTTGGCCCATATCGCTCGGAATTTTGCCCAGCGCTGGGGGGGCAGTTCGCGCCGCTGGGCCCCGTGGGCCAAGCCGCGATCAAATAAGAGATTGGCTTTTCCAGGAAGTTCAGCAGGTCCCCTGGCATTGAGTGGCGGCTTCTCCAGCGTGAGTTCTTAGGTTTGCTTCAGGTCAAGCGCGACTCCGTTCCTGGCTCCTGATATGCTGGTCGGGGGGCTGGCGGCGAGCTCTGTCACCGCTGTCTGTTCGATCCCTGCTCCCTCCTGTTCGACTGCCATGACTTGAAGGATGGTTTCAAGCGCGCTTCAACGGTGTTCATCCTGGTGGAAGGATGTGGTGGAGGTGTGGATGATGCTGGTAGGATTTGTCGTTCTGCTGATGGTACTCGCCCGATTGTCCAGTCCAGCTGTGACAGCCATGTTCTAATGCTGCTGCGGTTGCCCATCCTTTGTCCGTCCAAGCCCAATTCTCTGTCTCGGCCGTTCAGAATGGTTTCGTCAACAAACGGAATATGAACGATCACGTTCTCGAAGTGGATGCCATGTTGCTCGATTCCTCTTTCTCTTGAAGTGTTCCAGCGTGCAGGTCTGCCTCTGTTCGATATCGTTGGTGCCTTTCCGTCCTTGAACCGCGACTGCAAGGTAAACTGCCTCGTACGTCTAGGAGCGCTTCGCCTCCTCGTTCATGAGATCAGTGGGCTGCGCAAGAATGTGGTCGGGGAGGTCGTTCTCCGAGGGCAGGTTTCCCGTGGCTTTGCTGTTCTCCGAACGGTTAAACAAATGTGCCCGCTGAGGGGGGTGAGATTCGCAGTTTGTTTCGATCCCATTGTGCGCCATTTTGAAAGAAGCTCTGCGGCCGCATCCTGCTAGGGCGTTTGCATTCGCCGACGACGCGGGCATCGTCTCAAGCTATTTGCTGGTCTCTATTCCGATCGTGGTGCGGCTGATGGCGAATGCCGCGAACGTCTCGGGCCTGTGGCTGAATCCGAAGAAGCGTGTCATCGTTCTCCCTGCCGGCCCTGATCGGGCCCGCGTCAGTGCGTCCTTACAGTAGATCGGTCTTGACGCCTCCCTCCTTGCAGGTTTGTTCGAGTGCTCTGTGCTCAGGTTCGTGTCTGGGCCCTGGCGGGCCTCGGGCTCGCTGGGGTCGGCCCATGAGGAAATTCGCGGGCTATCCTTGGAGGCTCGCTCAGAATATCGATGTCTACATTTTTTTTGTTCTGGGGCTTCCGCTTCCCAGATTTCCATCCCAGCTTCTTACTATTCTGCATCCTTTGCTTCGTGCCGAACGTGATGCTCGCCAGTTTTGGACTGCAGGGCAGCGGTGGGCCATCCCCGCTCACATCCTCGCCAACAGCGACCGTTTTGGCTTGTTTGTCAAACCGAGGTCGATCGAGGTGGAAAACCCAGCTGCCACGCATCGCATGTGTATCCGCCCTGAAGCTTTCCCTGCCATAGATGATCGCTGGCGCGAACTCCGAGACGTTGAAGTTGATCATCTGGGTGTTCCCTAGAAGGCCTAGTGGGTTCAAGTGTCTGTCACTGGTTCCCTCTGTCGATTGTTCGAGAAGTTCCCAGCCATCCCTGGGGCCCCATTCGGACCCTGACTCCATCCAGCTGCAGGAGGACCTGTCGGTGGCATTGCACCAGCAAGTGAGCCCGAGCACCCCCGTGCCTGTAGCAGTATTCCCCAGGCTCCGCAAGTTTTGGCCTCTAGTCCAGGAGTGGCATTCCGACCTAGCTTTTACGTATTTGCGTGTTGCTGCCTCTATGGTTTTTTCTGTGTGTGTGTATGTGGCCTATTTGCGTTCCGTTTCCAATGTGTGGTACACCTCAGCCCGATATAACCAAGGTAGGCAAGTCAGCCGAGTCGGCTCCTAGCGATGGGAGGTGATCATGTCTTCCAAAGCCTGTCCTGTCCCGCTGTCCTCGCGTGTTTGCCTTCCATTCTTCCCCCACTCTTCCCGAAGTTCATGCCGAGTGGTCGCCCGGAGATATATTGATTTCGTGCGTAATCCCTCCCCTGAAGAATGCCGAGTTCAAGCCTGCCGTTCTCTTGCATGACCTCGCTATTGCCACCTTTAACTTCTTGCGCGCACGCAAGACATGAGGACATGTGCAGCTTCCAGCCCTCCTCGCGGTTCGGGCTCGTGCCATCGCCAAGATGAGGGAAAACCGTCCGTGCTCTTTAAGCAAGGGCGTTACCACCGAGTGGCGAGTGGATTCTCGTCATCATCACCTATCATCACCAACACCCTTGTCATCGTCAGCGTCACCATGGTCACCACCGCCACATCATCATCATCATCGTCATCATCGTCATCGTCGTCATCATCATCATCGTCATCATCATCATCAACATCATCATCATTACCATCATCATCATCATCATCATCATCATCATCATCATCATCATCATCATCATCATCATCATCATCATCATCATCATCATCATCATCATCATCATCATCATCATCATCATCATCATCATCATCATCATCATCATCATCATCATCATCATCATCATCATCATCATCATCATGTGCATGAACTTTACCGCCACCACCACCATCACAGCTCAGCTTGAGACGTGGGCCTCGAGCGTTGGGGGTGGGGGGCAGAGGCGCGGCGACACCCCTCCCTCTTCCCTCTCCCTCCTCCCCCTCGCCCATCCTGGTCCTCCCTCCCCTTTTACCTCCTCGCGATGCGTGGTGCGCTGGTTTGGCGTTGCCTCTCCCGCGTACTGCCGAGTACGCAGGATGTCAAACAGTGTGGCAACCAACGCGCTTTTGTCCGCTTGGCCCTTCCAACACTGTGCTCCCGCTTCCGCGCTGGCCGCGTTCCGTGACTTGTGCTGTGCTCCCGTCGCTCAGGATGGCGCGCCTCGGCCCAGCGGTGGTCGTCACATTTCTTTGGTTCGAAGCTTTCCTCGTCGTTGCGGTTCCCTCCCCCTTTCCCGTCCTCCGCCTTCGCTCAACTTCTGCTCCTCCTCCACCCTCTTCCACCTCTTTACACCTCCTCCACCTGCCCCGCCTCCCCAACCTCCTTCATCTCCATCCGCCTCACGCCCCCGAGTCCCGATGGCAACACGACCGATGGGTCCATTCCTGCAAGGGCCAGTTGGGGATCCAGGTCTTCGAGGACACCCCCGTCGGGGGACAGAAGAGGGCCCAGCGCAACGGGACGGGATGGGTGGGAGGAGCCGGATGTCAGACGTGGCGCGACCCTCGTGGTCCCCTTTCCCCCAGCCTCTGACGCGAGCGGTCCGCGCCTGCGCTCGCGCTCGCACCGCGCGAGCGGGCGTGGGGCCGCGAGGGGGGGGGCCCTCCGCTGCGGCAGGCTGCGGGCACGCTGGGCCGCGTCGTCTGCCAAGCGTGGGCACAGCGGGTCGTTGTTATCGTCGTCGTCGTCGTCGTCGTCGTCGTCGTCGTCGTCGTCGTCGTCGCCGTCGGCACCGCCGCCGCCGCCGCCGCCGTGTGGTAGTCGCTCGGGCGTGTAGCGTTGCCGGCGGATCGCCTTCATGGCCGGCTGTAGAAGCGCGCAGCGGGTCGTCGAGCGTTGTGCGCTCTGCCTCGACGAGCCAGCGGGCCCAGGCAGTGGGCGCTTTCGCGCGCTGCCAGACTCGTTCCGCAAGCGCTGCGGCGACCCTGTGGCGAGCCCTGGCCCATCGCACGGCCGCGCCAGGAGAAGCTCAGGAAGCGCGCAAGCAACGCTGCGACCGCGCCACCCCTGCCAGTGCGTCCGCCGGCTTTCTGCCTGCGGGCCGAAGGCCGCGGGAGACGGGATTCCGGCCCACATCCCGTGCGGGGGGGTGCCCGTGGCCGGTCGCAGCCGATGGCGTGACCTCAATGGCGTGACCTCAATTGGCGTGACTCTGGTTCCCGCGCCACCCTGGCGCCCGCAGGAGCTGGACGCCATGCGCAAGGCGGACGCCCCCAAGCCCAAGAAGGCGCGGCTCCGCGCTCCGCGGAGGGCGTCTGACCTCTTCCTGCTTCTGTCCCACCCGCCCTGAGATCAGGCGGAGCATTGATTTCGAGGAGCCGCCTTTGTGGCCTTGGGCCGTGGCGGGGCCTTCCCGGGTGCCAGTCTTGGGCCGTCGCGGTGCTCGTCGGGGCCGCTCTGGGGGTTTGGGTTTGGATCGTGGCGGCGCCGTGCTGGACTGGCCAGAAGGCCGTCGGGATTCCAACCCGAGCCCGCTCTGAGCTCTCGAGGGCGTGGCAGAGCAAAGCCTTGGTGGACCTGTCCGAAGCGCCCTCTCGAGAACTCCTACAGATGGCCTCCTCGAGGAGCTTTCCCCCGAGCAAGGAAACGGGGAGTAGGGATGATGATGATGATGATGATGATGATGATGATGATGATGATGATGATGATGATGATGCTGATGCTGATGCTGATGCTGATGCTGATGCTGATGCTGATGCCAATGCTGATGAGGCTGATGATGACGATGATAATGATGATGATGACTATGATGATTCTGCTGATGATGATGATGATGATGATGATGAATGATGCTGATGATGATGAATGATGGTTTTGATGATGATGCTGATGACGATGATGCTGATGACGATGATGATGCTGCTGCTGATGATGATGCTGATTATGGTGATAATGATGATGCAGAGTAAGACTATGATGCTGATTATGATGATGATCATTACGAATATGAAGACGATGATGACGAATCTAACGAAAACGACGACGACGATGACAGCGATGATGCTGCCGATTATGATGATGATGATGATGATGATGATGATGATGATGATGATGATGATGATGATGATGATGATGATGATGATGATCATGATGATCATGATGATCATGATGATGATGACGATGATGATGATGATGATGATGATGATGATGATGATTATGATGATGATAATGGTGATGATGAGGAGGAGGAAGAGGAACAGGAAGAGGAGGATGAGGAGGAGCGCCAGTGTAAACGCCAAGACTCATCAACGATGTTGCAACACACTCTCTCTCCAAGCTCCCTCTTCATAGGTCCCTGCAAGGAATCATTTTCACTGCGGGATGTGCCCCGTTGGAAGACACGTTTCAAAACCCCGCACCGTGCCATAACATCTTTCCTCGGATTTCAATGCCGCGAATCAACGTCATTGCTGCGTCATGACGGTCCTGGATCGTACCACAGCACCATTCCTGGAACTTCACCGCCACAAATCAACGTGACTGTTGCGCCCTGGCATTCCTACGTCGTGCCAGCGCACAATTTCTGGGAAGCCACCCACAAGAATCCGGGAAACTTGTGCAGACTCTTAAGACGAATTTGCGCGGCGCGAGGGCGATAATCACAATGTGAAGAGGAACCGCCTTCCATCCTGGAAACTCTGGCGAACTTCTAAGTTCTTGCAAACTTTAAGTCGACTGTGCGCGGAGTTCAGGCGAGAGCCACACGGTGAAACCCACCCGCCCTCCATCCGTGAAGCTCTTTGCAAATTTTAAAAACCGAATGGGCACTGCGCTAATAGGCGAGAGCCACATTTTGACAACCGCCCGCCCCAAGTCCGCGAAGCCGCTGCAAGGTTTAAGCTTTAGGATCGTAAGCGGTGTGAAAGCCCCAGGCGACACGCCCAGCCCGCCCTGGCGGCGCGCCTCGGGGTGCGACAGGGAGGAGCCCTCTGCAAGGAAGTGGGATCCAGGAGCCAGCCGCCGAGGCGCTGCCTTGGAGCGTCTTTGGCTCCAGACGGGCTCCTGGCCACCCCGCGCTCTGCTCCTGGATGGGGGTCCCCCCGGAGGAGGGCCCCCTTGGCAGACCGCTGGGGGCTCTGGGGCCCGCCGGGGGCCGGGGCCGCCTCGAGGAGCCGTCCGTGCTGCCAGGAGCACGCGGGGCTCGTCGCCGCCGCCGTCTCCCGGCCCCCCTCGCGTCGAGGTCTTCGGCCACCTTCGGTTCCGGGTGGCCCTCGCCGGGCCGCGGGACCGTCAGAAGGGTGGCTTAGGATGAAGAGCTGGTCCTGCGGGGAGCATGTCGAGACCTCCGGGAGTGCACGTCATGACAAGATCACGTCGGGCGCCTTCGTGAGGAGGGCGGGGACGCCCCGGCTGGAGCGGGCGGAGTTCCTGGGACCACGTGCGCACCGGGCATGCGGGGAAGGAGACAGATTGCAAGATCTTGTTCAAGATTCTCGCGTTTGGAGACGTAGATCGAGTGAGGAGTGTGGGTAGTGTATGACTGTGCGCTTGCCGACGCGCCTTGGGCGTAGGGCTTCTATCTGTCTGTCTGTCTGGGGGGCGGGCAGCGGCGGGAGTCAGGGCCGCGGCTGCGGCGGCGCGCCTCCTCTCCCCTCCTGTCGGGTCGGGCGAGGGGGTGGCAGTCCGGCCCGAGGCTCCCTCTTTCTCCTCCACGGGAGGGCCTGCCCATCCCCCTCTCAAGGCTCCCGCGCCTCCCTCGTTCCCATCAGGAGGCAGGTACGGTAGGTTCGCGTCGTGTCGACCGGCGGCGACCCCGCCGGCGGGCGACCCAGAATCGTTCGATGTGGAACGATTTGGACGCTTCGGGAACGGCCGATCGTTCAAGGTCGAACGATCCCCGCGGTGTCAGAAACCAACGCCGCAGTCGGCACGACACGAACCTGCCGTAGTGCACCGCCACCGTCCCTTTGCCTAGGGCCACCGTGGGACCGAGGTTGGTGTAAGGGAGCCTCCTTGGTCGAGGCCCAGGGCTGCCCTGGCCAGGGATGGCGGATGTCTGCAGCCGCTGTTGTCGGAATCCTTCTCTCCCTCTTTCTGGGCCTCTACCGTCCTGCGGCGAACGTCGCCCTCTTGTGCCCTCGTAGACAGAGCTCCCGTCCACCGTGCCTTCCCCTCTCCCTCAGCGCCCCTAGCTACCCCTCTCATTCCTCCCCTCCCTCCTGCCATACCATTAACCTCCCCTTCCTCTCCCCCCACTCCTCTTGTCTCCCCTCCCCCCTCAATACTGGGCGGGCGCTTCGCGCATACCAGCCAAATTGTTCATGACCAATCAACAGGCGAGTTCCCCTGATCAGGGAAGTGTAGCAGCATTCAGTGGAACAAGAACGGGCAGCAGTTACCTCTAGAAAGGGGAAGAGGCAGGAAGAGGAAACGACGGAGGAGGAGGATGGCAGGCGTGGGGACTTGCGGAGAAGAGATGGAGAGGAGGACGACGAGGTGAGAGGAGGAGGAGGAGGAGGAGGAGGAGGAAGAGGAGGAGGAGGAGGAGGAGGAGGAGGAGGAGGAGGAGGAGGAGGAGGAGGAGGATTAATTAATACTAACAATAATATTTAATCGAAAGAGGATGGGGGAGGAATAATCCTGAGACGACGACGACGGCGACGGCGACGGTGTCGGCGACGACGACGACGACGGCGACGGCGACGGCAACGGCGACTGCGACGGCGACGACGACGACGACGACGACGACGACGACGACGACGACGACGACGGCGGCGGCGGCGGCGGCGGCGACGACGACGACGACGACGACGACGACGACGACGACGACGACGACGACGACGACGACGACGACGACGACGACGACGACGACGACGACGACGACGACGACGACGATCGTCGAGGCCTTTGCGGGCCGTCGTGTCGCCCTCCCGCGGGCATTTTTCAGGCCTTTGGAGCCCTCCTGTGGCCATCTCGTAGCTCCTTGGAGCTCTCCCTGGGGCCCGTCTCGGGGGCCCTGGGGAGTCCTTCTCCTCCTCCTCCTCCTCGTCCTCCTCCTCCTCTCCTCCTCCTCCTCCTCCTCCTCCTCCTCCTCCTCCTCCTCCTCCTCCTCCCCCTCCCCCTCCTCCTCCTCCTCCTTCCTCCTCCTTCCTCCTCCTCCCGCCGGAGATCAAGCAACCCTCTCTTGGGGCCCCCCGTGGCGGTCTGGGCGCGCTCTTGAGCGCTCTTGGGGGCCGTCTTGGTGGCCTCCTGCGCCCCCTCTCGAGGCTCTCTTGGGCGATCTTGGAGCCATCTGAGATGGCTCCAAGATTCTTGAGACCTCCAGATTCTCAAGAGGCCTTAATATTCTCTCGATCAGCTTTTGAGGCCTCAAGATTCTTGAGGCCTCCAAAGCTGCTCGAAAGCGAACGAGCGAGAATGCACACACACACGCCATTGATGCTTGTCGGGGGGTCCCTGAGAGGCTCCGCGACCACTTTGAGCTGTCTTGGGGCGGTCGTGCGGGAGGCATGTTTGAAGCTTCCTAGAATGATGTTTGGCCATCTCGTGCCATCTTGGAGGACACCTTGGGCTATCTGGGGTCCTCTTGGGGGCCATCTTGAGCCATCTTGGACGTCTTCCTCGTGGCGCTCCCCAGCCCCCCTGCAGACCCACGGAGAGTATGGGAAAGAGTCCCAGACAGGGAATAAGGAGGTTGGAACAAGGAACTCCTTAGCCACCTGCGCCCAGAGGACCAGTGGGGTTTCCTCTCTCACCTCCTCTCCCTCTTCCCCCCCATCTATCTTCTGTCCTCTACCCGGGGAGGTGGATGAGAGGGAATCGGTGAATATGGGTAGAGAGAGGAGGGGGAGGGCAGGAGGAGGAGGAGGTGGAGGAGGAGGTGGAGGAGGAGGAATGATGGAATGATGACGATGCTGAGGATGAGAATGAGGATGGGGAGGAGAGGGAGGCGGATGCGGAACATAACGATACGGGAACGGATCATGAGGACGAGGAGAGCGCTGGTGGAGGAGGAGTGAGGATGACCAGCAGCATGAGCGTAAGGCTGACGATTAGGAGGACGGGAGGAGGATAACGAGAAGATGATGGTCCTGATGATGCTGACGAGGAGGACGAGGACGAGGACGAGGAGGAGGAGGAGGGGGAGGAGGAGGAAGAGGAGGAGGAGGGGGAGGAGGAGGATGAGGAGGAGGAGGAGGAGGTGGATGACAGGGACGGTTGGGCAGAGCAATTGAGGGAGGAAGGGGCAGGAGCCCTGTGACACCCCGCCCCCATCCAACCTCCCTCCCTCCTGCCGCCTCGTCCAGTTCCTTCTCTTCTGATTCCTCAGGTTCTTTGTCTGATTTCCGCTTCTCCCTGCTGCTGATTTTGATCCGCGAGAGCCCTCCACCCCCCTGTGACAACCATGAATCCCAGAACTCGTCAGAATCTTCTAAGCTCACCTACAACATGTAATCCCTCCACGAACTCCCCTTCTTTAGCCTGCTCTTCCGCTTCTTCTTTCTCATCTGCATACCTCTGAACACCACCCGACGACCGTCGAAAACTAAAAGATGCGAAACCCTCCTCCCCTTCCCCTTCCCTCCTCCTCCTCCTCCTCCTCCTCCTCCTCTTCCTCCTCCTCCTCCTCCTCCTCCTCCTCCTAGTCCTCCTCCTCCTCCTCCTCCTCCTCCTCCTCCTACCCTTCCCCTCCCTCCTCCACCTCCGCCCCTCTCCTTCTCCGTATCTCCCTTCCTCGTCATTTCTCCTCATCCTCCTCCCTCCTCCTGGGCTGGCTCTCGGGTCCCTTCCTCTTTGTGTTTTTTCCGCCCCCTTCTCGTCGTCGTCGTGGTCCTCCTCCACCCTCTTCCCTTCTCCCTCCTCCTCCTCGTCCTCCTCCTCCTTCTCCTCCTCCCTGCTCCTCCTCCTCCTCCTCCTCCTCTTGCTCCTCCTCCTCCTGCTCCTCCTCCGCTTCCTCCTCCTCCTCCTCCTCCTCCTCCTCCCTCCTCCTCCTCCTCCTCCTCCTCCTCCTCCTCCTCCTCCTCCTCTTTCATGTCCTCCCCCTCCTGCCTCCTCCTGTCCTGGCCCTGAGGCCCTTGTCCGCCTCGTGCCCCCCCCTGCGCGCAGGCGGCCATGCTGGCCTCGAGCAAGCGGGAGACGCAGGAGGAGCCCGCACCCCCCTCGCCAGGGGGGCTGGTGGGGGAGGAGACGGGAAGAGGGAGGGAGGGCTGCATGGACGGATGTACGGATGGTTGTGGCGAGGGGGGATGGTAGTGGTGGTGATGGTGGTGTGTGCGGCTGCTGCTGCTGTTGTTGGTGGTTGAGATGTTCGTGAAGATGGTGGTGATGACGATCAGGATGAGGATGATGCAGGCGAAGGTACACAGGCCTCCTCGTGCCGCTCGGCCTGGAGGTCAGGCTCAAGGATCCAAGGGCTTGTTTTAGATATTGTGGCAGGACCTCGGGAAGGGCGGTTCCGGCCGCGCCTGGGGCAAGGTGCCATCCTCCAGGAGCTCTCGGTTTCATCCCTCTCTCCTTGTATTGGTGTTGGGTCTTTGTTTATTTTGTCGGGACGCCTTCGCCATGAGAGGTCAGGGAGGGGAGGCAGAGAGAGGAGACACGGCTAACCCATGCCCTCTCGGAGGCGCCCCCTCTCGGTCACCAGGTGGAGATATGCTTCGGTGCCGTGGGCTCCGGCTCGGTCTCGTGCTCGGTGGAGTTTGCTTCCGGCTTTGGGCTCTTCGGCTGGGGCCTGGAGCGCACAATCCTCGGGGGACGAAATCTATACATATCCACTGCTCCCTGGCCAGGCCTATCCTGAACCCAGGAGCTGTGTATACGCCCTCCTGGCCAAACCAGGAGGGCGTGGCGTATACACAGCTGCTGTGTTCAGGATGGGCCTGGCCAGGGAGCAGTGGATATGTATAGATTGCGTCGCCCTAAATCCTCCTCATCCCGCATCCACCCTGGGGCGGTGGGGTCCTCGGACCTCTCCCCGGGGGCAGGGGCGGGGAGCCGCAGCGGCGACGCCCGCGGTCCGGGCGCGCCGCTCTCGGGCCGGGCCCCGGGGCAACGGGCCGTTGTGGAGCGGGCTTCTTTCGGACCCCGCGACGCCTTGAAGGTGGTGCGCGGAGCCGGCGCAGGAAGGTGCGCTGCTGAGAGGCAAAGGAGGCACGACGGAGGGGCAGGAAGGTCAGGAAACGAGTGCTGGCGTCGCGCAGCGTGTCGCTCTTCAGGCGGGCCATTGTGGAGCGAGCTCTTCGGACCCCGCGACACCTTAATTGTGGTGCGCGGAGCCGGCGCAGGAAGGTGCGCTGCTGAGAGGCAAAGGAGGCACGACGGAGGGGCAGGAAGGTCAGGAAACGAGTGCTGGCGTCGCGCAGCGTGTCGCTCTTCAGGCGGGGTTAGGCGATCGCGCAGGAACGCCACCGGGTACGGTTTTGGGGGTGCGTGGAAGACCGGCGCTTTGGGGCAGGCTGGCAGGCAATGAATCAAGCTATGAAAGCGGAGTGCTTGTTCGCTTGTCACTCTCATGAACACGCGTCGATGGCGAGTATGCCTGTTGTGTGATTTTGGTTTCTGGTGGTTTTGGGTAAGGTGGTTCGGGGGGAGGCTTGCTTGGGTTGGACTTCTGCCCAGCAGTGGCAAGCTGGGGGAAGCAACGTCGTAGTTAGGGACGGGCATGATCGGAAAAGGCACTCGGTGTCTGGCCTTCACCATGCCGCGAGCAGGCCGTCATCGTGGCCTGTCCCTCGTGGTCGTGTGCGCGTTTTTTTCTGGACCAATCGTGCCCGAGACCTATTTTTCAGAGGACTTCGGTTCGTGGAATATGAGAGTCGTGGGCAGAGCAACATGCTTGTCACCGGTGGGGACTTCAACGCGGAAATTGTCCAGCGGACACCCCATGATGAGAATTATATAACAGGCGTGAGCGGTCCGCCCAGGCCTACCGACTTTAGTCGGGAGCTCAGAGTTCTGCCGGGGCCAATCTCATGTTATGAACGCGGTGTGCCGCAAGAGAAATGCGGCCACGTGGTGGCATCCGCTTTGCCGCGCGGCCCGCCAGTTGGACCGTGTCTTGGCGAGGCCTTGTGACGAACAGCACGTCGTGGTGTGTAGGGCCCTGCGCTTTGGGCAGGGTGGGGAACAGGGTTGCCGTCGTGCAGTTAAGAGTCGCTGAATCCAGGCCGACGATGCATGGAGAGAACGCGATGACGGAGCCGTGGATTGGTCCGCCTATGCGGACATTGGGTTTGTGGGGGTCCAGCTTCGGCTGTGTGGCTCGTGGTTAGGCTGGACTACGTGGGGTTTCACTCTCCAGTTGCTGAGCGACCGCAGAATTGCAGTTTAGAAGGCCCGACAGGGAGCGCTAAGGCGAGACGGGAACGTTTTGCGGCCGCCGTGATGACGTGTCTAATGGTGGTAGGGTGCCCCGTCGAATGGGCTGAACTCTGCTCCTTGGAGCAGTCGGTCCCCGAGGAAGTTCTCGGTAGGATGCCGAAGAGACACCGACTCCCATGGCTGCGGGGGCATGAGGTGGAGAAACAAGGCCTTGGACTTTGAATTGGAACAAGGATGAAATTGGCCCTGCCGTCGGTCGAGGAGGCCGCGACCACGTTGGCCGCTTAGAAGGCGGCGGGGCTTCGCCGCTGCAGACTGTTGAGGGAGGGGGGGGCGCGTGTGTATCGAGAAGGCGCTGGCCACGGGCGGGGCGTCCGAGGCGGCGCGTCGTCGCGGCCAGGGAAAGTTATGCCGCCTCTTCAAAGAACGGCGAGTGCAACGGGGGGGCGCTGCGACTCGGGGCGGTGGGGCGCAAACAATGCGGCAGAGCGGGGTCGTGGAGGCGCCGCTTCGAGGAAATATTTGGCGACGCAGTTGAGTGGCGAAGTGGCGAGTGGGGCTGGTTGTCCTTCTGGAAAAAGGAGGGTCTCTTGAAGGGCGAGAACACTTGGCGGGGCACCGCCCCCGTGTCGGTGGGACCCAAGCTACTCACTCGCGTGGTGGCGTCGCGGGTCTCGGGGTGGTCGGAGTCGCGGACCGGGGGGCGGGGGGGGTAATCTGGCTTCCGCAGAGGGCGCGGGACTGACGATGCCTCGCATCTAGCGAGGAGGCTCGCGGGGGAAGCGTCCGTGCTCGCCGAAGAGGTTGTCGTATTGCTCTTCTTTGCTTCTGAAAAAGACTTACCCGCTCGTGTGTCGAGCCGCGCCGCGGGAGGTACTGAAGAGACGTGGGTGCCCCCTGGGGATGAATAGTGTCTGCAAAGCCTTTCGTGGGAACGCGGGCTATAAGGTGCGAGTGCTGGGCGGCGTTTCGATTGGCTTCCCTGCCGCGGCCGTCGCGGCTGTCGCCCCGTCCAGCCCGCCATGCTTTGAGATTGGAGATTATCGGCTCCGGCGGGGGCGGAAAGCGGAAATCGATGGATTGCGCCGTGGTGTCCCGTGGGAGTGCCAAGTGGATGGCCGGCTGGCCAAACGCGCCCAGCCTCGGTATCAACGGGCCGAAGGGGTTAGTTTTGCCGTCGCTCTGCGCGCAGCCACGATTGGGGTGTCGGTTTCGCCGGTGATGCCATGGTCGTTTGTTTTGCCGCGGAAATGCGAACGGCCGAACCGCTTCTGGAGGTGACTATGAGTGACTGGGAGGGAAACGTTGATCGGGAGAAGGCATAGAGGTTGCGCCTGGGCGGCGGCGACAGGAAGCCGCGCGATGTCCGCGGCGAGTTCAAAGTGCCAGTGCTTAGGCACGGTGGGGCAATTCGCGGGAGGGGGGGCAGGTCCCGAGCAGCGGGCGCGGCGAAAAGGGTTGCCGCGGGCAACAATATTGTGCGCGCTTCGGCCGCAGGGTGGTCAGTGGGCACTGGCCGCGGGCGAGGCCGCGCGGGCGGTGTAAACGTCGCCGCTCGGCTGCGTGTCCTACAGGCGTGTGTAGCGGCGTCCATGCCTTCGGGGGCTTGCTCCCGGTCGTAGTCCGAGGCTGATGTGCGTCGTCTCCAGCGTGTCGTCCATTGCGGCGTCTGGCGGGCCGTTGGCGTGGGCGCCTGGGTCGTGGCGAGTGGTCGGTCGAGGATGTGGACCTGTGCCGCTCGGCCCAGTGGCGTGCCATGGGAGATGGATCATCTGTTTCGACTTCGCCCACAGTGGTAAGGCCGCGTAGCTCGCGTGCCGATTTGGCGTCGGCCTAAACGGCCCTCCTTGGCTGGGTGGCAGGGCGCAGTAGCGAGGAACGTAACAGTCGGATGTGGTAGTATTATTTCCTCGGCCATGGGGTTCTCGCGAGCTATAGATTCACGAATCGGAATGGTGTCGCTGGGACATGGATAGACTTGCGGAAAGCAAGTGGCGCGTCTTTTCAATTGTCCGCGACGGGCAGGGGGCGCCCCCGAGCCGTTGACAGTTGGACACCAGGGACCCCCTTCCCCTTGTGGACAACCATTCTCTGCCTCAAGGCTGCCGCGAAGCGTCCGGGAAGGGTGGTGCGAAGGGGTGGTGCGCGAGGGGTGGGGGGGATCTCTTTGCCTCCCCGCCCGCCGGCGCCCGCTCTGGGTTTCAAGTGCCCGGTCTGCGATATGACTCTCAGAGTAGGCAATCAGCTTGAGTATCATTGTGGCGAGTGCCAGCGTCTGGCGCCTCCCCAAGCCTGGTGGATCGCGATTGGCGGCTCCGAGGGCGACGCAGGAGCAGGCCGGGGGGTTCGCGCTTCGGCGCGATGGCCCCGGTGCGCCGGGTCATATCCCAGATTTCGTTCTTCGCGCGCCAGTGGCCGCCCAGTAGTGAGGCTCCCGCTGGCTCGGGGCCCGGTCAAGGGCCAACGGCGCCGCCGATTTGGCCGCCGTCGGGGAGAAATGCCGCTGGATTCTGGCGCCGTCCCTGTTTGCGCCTGGTTCAACCTTCTCTACGAGGCCAATTTGCTTCGTGGTTTCTGGAGGCCTAAATCCAGCGAAGATTTGGCTGGGGTGGTGCTCGAGATTATGGCGAAGCTATGCGGGGCGCGCGTGGTCGCGTAGGCGCGTGGGAACGCGTGCGTGGCCGCGCGGGGGCGCGCGATCATCAGCGTGCAGACCGAGTCGCTGAGATCGGGCGATTGGGCCGTATCTCGGCCATCTCTCCGAGCCCCAGACCCCCCCCGGCCAGCGGTGCGTGGTCTTGCCTGGAACGACACCAACTCCTGCA